AAAAATCACTTTATTAATAAAAGATACAGAGTGATTCATATAAAACTGCGAGTCCTGACAAATTTAAACACGACCAATAATACAATATCCAAAATAAACTAGATATTAAAAAATAAATTTTTACCAACCAAAGAAAAGAAAAACTAAAATAAAGTTGAAAAAATCTTTTCAATTTATTCGTAAGATAACAGTAGAAACTCTATAATCTGAACTAATTGTTGTAAAAAGTTTTTTAAATTATCGAATTGACTTTCTTAATTAAAACAACTGAAAAATATGGATTTATTAAAAGAAAAGTAAAACAAAAAAATGCGTAATTTGGATGGATATCTGAATTTATTACTATTATCGCTGTTGGGATTAAAGAAGTTTTTTTATGTTTAATGATTTTTTTAAAGATATTTGAAGATTTTTTTGTTTTGTACATTATCTAAGTTGAAATTTTATAAAACATGTAGTTTTTGCTATCTACAAAAATAAACAAATAAAAATTGAAAAAAAAACACCAAACTGTTTGTCGAAATTTAATTTTTTGTGAAAAACAATCGTAAAAAATTAAGCACGCCACTGTGTTAAAAAATTAGCTAACAGTAATTTGTGACTTTAGAATAATATTTCTAAAGCAGTGAAAATTTCAGCCGTTTCATTTTCCTTTTAGGAAGTTGATATTTTTTTGTAATAAAAATCGTAGTACGCCACTGTGGTAAAAATAAATAATAGTGGTTTCTGGGCCACAGCAACCAGTGGCGCAGAATAAATAACATGTCTAAAGTAGTGAAAATTTCAGCCGTTTCAGCGTAAATTCCAGATTTTCATCTCGTCGCTCGCATCTTTCGCCACCTGTTGCTCCCAGATCTCAATCTCCTCTCGGAACTCGAGTATAAAACTATAAAACAAAGTTTTCCGGCCGTCTTTTATCTCCACTTAACACATTTAAATCTTTTCCTTTTTATTGGTGTCATTAAACAGCGTTACCGAAAAAAGGTGCGTGCGAGTTTCGCAGTGCACAAAAACGTCCTTTGATGTATTTCCCTGTCGCTTATCATAATGTGATTTATGTTTTCTGCATACTTAACAATTTTCTTCGCGTGAAATGCACATACCGTCCTGAAAAACCCTTAAGATCGGTTCAATAAACTGCGCCAATTTGGCAACGTTGCAGCGCGATTCGTGGAAGCACAATTTAAGCCGCTTCGAGGAAACATTTGACATTTCCAAGGTCGTGTGTGAAGTTTGCTACTGAATTATGATTGGTCGAGGGTTGTGTCAAACCTAACCTCGGTGCAACATTTCGAGTGTGTGACGTAACCGCCACGATTGGCCGTAATCTTGGCGCCAGCATCGAACTCGTAACGTCTATTTTTAACCATCCGTGCGACCGCAATGCTAAACACACAACAAACCGACGACTTTCGAGCTTTGACAGACAGTCATTACCAAAAAACCCTAAAAACGCGACGGGAGATGACCAAAATCCCTACATCATCAACGCAAAAACCGATTCAAAAAAATCAAATTGTATTTTCGGTTTTGTAAATATGTTATATTTAGCCGTTAGGTCATTGCGATATGGCCAGTCACAACACTGGCGCCACTAGGATCGCCACCAATATCAACACACCTTTGCCAACACGTGGAAATTAAGGAAATTCGACAAGGACGCCCCAATAAGGAAAATAACAAACAATAAAATTGACGATAACGAAATTATCTCCTTGTTTTGTTTCCTCGAGTGGGAAGATCGAAAAACAATCACATGAAGACGGTTATTTGAACTGTCATCATAAAATTTGAGCAATAAGAATCAGATTTCCGCGAAAAGTGGGCCTTGATTCTGAAATTAGGTTGGCATGACTGAGAAACCTAGATTTGACGTATTGCTACTTTAATTATTGCAGAATCATAGCCCACTCTAATTTTGAGAAATGTCAAAAATCAACTAAATGACTAACAGAAATTGTCAATTTAAAATTGTATTTTTTTGAAAAATATATAATTTTTTAATTTTGAGGAGCAACAGGTGTATGAAACTATTTTCTCAAATGCAATAACAAGTCAAAGCTTCAAGTTCTACTTAAATAAATTCCAAGCCTAAACTGTAGTCCCTCAGACGTTTCTTATTAAAATAAATTAATTTTGTTAAATAAAAAGTGAAATTTTGATACTAGATCAATAAAAAATGAGTCAAAATTACATTGTGAAGTGTTAGCGTGTAAATAAAGTCCCAGCATTATGCAATTGCGATGTTGCCATTTTTTGGGTAGATTTGAAACCCATGAATAAGGAAAATAATAATTTATTTAAAGAAAAACGATATTTGCCATAATAATAAGCGGCCATTACGTGTATGCCATATGTTTTGGTATTTTTATTGCTTACAGATAAAAAAAATAGAAAAAAAAACATCTTTAAAGTGTTTATTTCCAATTTTTATTAACTTTTTTCGAGGAAATTTAAAATTATTGGAACCCCAATAATAAGCAATGAGCCAAAAACCTTAATTTCTACTTCAAAATTAATTTTAATGCTAGACTAGAGTCCCTGAATACTAATTTTGACGTTTCGAAAAGTAATATTTTCTTATTTTTGATACTGGGCTAAAAAATAAGCCAAAATTAAATTGTAAAGTGTTGGGGCATAGTTAAAGTTCCTAGATTATACTATTGCGATGTTGCCATTTTTCGGATAATTTGAACCGATGAATAAGAAAAATAAAAAACAATTCCTTTATTAAAAAAAAACATTTGCCATAATAATAAGCCGGCCATTACGTGTGCCATATTTTTTGGTATTTCTATTTCTCATAGATAATAAAATTAGAAAAAAATATCTTCCAACAAAGTCTTAATTTCCAATTTTTATTAACTTTTTTCGAGAGAATTCAAATTTATTACAACAACAAAAATAAGTAATAAGCAAAAAGGTTTAATTTCTACTTTAACATCAATTTTAAGGCTAAACTAGATCCTCGGAATATTCACTTTGACGTTTCTTGTTGAAATTAATTAATTTTGTTCAGATAAAAAGTAAAATTTTTATTTTTAATATTGGTCTAAAAAATGAGCAAAAATTAAATTGTGAAGTGTTAGGGAGCAACTAAAGCCATTGCGATGTTGCCATTTTTCGGAGAGATGTGAAACTGACGAATAAAGAAAATCAAAAACGATATTTGTGACTGCCATATTTTTTGGTATTTTTATTGCTCATAGATGAAAATTTTTAAAAAAATCCCTTCGAACAAAGTGTTAGTTTCGAATTTTTATTTCGAGAAAATTTAAATTTATTAAAACCACAATAATAAGCAATAAGCCAAAAAATTTAATTCCTACTTCAAAATCAATTTTAAGGCAAGACTTTCTTGTTTCTTGTTAAAATTAATTAATTTTGTTCAAATGAAAAGTGATATTTTTATTTTTGATTCTAGGCCAATAAAAAATAAGCCAATATTACATTGTAAAGTGTTAGGGCACAACTAAAGTCCCTAGATAATGCATTTGCAATGTTGCCATTTTTCGGGTAAATTTGAAACCAGAGAAATAACAATAAAAAACGATTTTTTATTTAAAACACACAATACACTGACCACGATGTAGTATGCCAGATTTTTGGATATCTTTGTTGCTCATTGATAAAAAAAAATCAAACAAAATCTTAATTACTAATTTCTAATCTGATTTTTTTAGAGAAAAACTTAATTTTTTAGAGCAACAATAAGCAATGAGCCAAAAGTCCCAATTTCTAGTTTAAAAACAATGATGAGATATTTAATAAAGACTAAACTAGTTCCTAAATACACATTTTGACATTTTTTTATTAAAATTGATAAAATTAATAAAAATCACTAAAATTTTAGGTAACATTCTCTTATTTTTCAACTTTCAGAAACATGCAAAACTATAATCTCTTGATTTTTAGCTATAATCTGTTAAAAAAAGTTAGAAAAAAGACAGCGGTACTACTTTTTACTTTATTTATTTACTTAACTAAACAAGAAATAATTATTTGCACTGTTTTTTGCACTAAAAAGCCACAAATAAATAAAACAAATAAAAAATTAAGAAACATGAAAGTAATAGTATATTATGTTATTAGGGGTAAACGTGATGACATTCAGTCATACAAGTGGTCACTTTTGAGGTTAAAAACTGAAATATTGTAATTTTGCATAATAATGTCCGGTTTTCGTGTCCAAATAAAAAAATCCCAACGATTATAACTCGGTTTGTTTTTTATCAATGGAGACTTTTTGAAATGTCCGCGCCGATAAAGCACAAAGGCGCCGAAATAGATATGTAAAAGCTGATGTCCTCCGTTGGCATGTATGCGTTTCAAAAATAAACACATCCAACGTTTTATATTGTCTTGTGAAAAAAAAACTATATAAAGTGGCGCCGGCGCTACGTCGCCATCCTTGTTTGTTTAATTTCGTACACGTTGTGCCGAATAATAGCGTGGTGTACGAAAATCGTCACGTACCAACGACTCCGAAACCTTTTGTATGGAAATAAAAGAGAGGAGGGGGGCGCCTTAATGGTGTTTGTCGCCGGTATTATCAAGCAGGCGCCGACCGAGACACCTGTCTGGAAATCCAGTCACTTTTGGCTCATTGGCTCACCAACTGTCAAATGAGCCAAGGTGCGCCGCCGACTGCGATGTTGTCACATGTCCTTCCTACGGCCTTCCGCGATAAGGCGCCCGGCGCCTTTCTCAATACTATTTTTAATCGCTTATCTAATTTAACCGAGATTATTTCTATTCCAACAAATGACCGAATTTTATGAAAAACAATCGATTGAGCGTGGCCAACCGTGACCATCAGACGCCAGACAATACACTTCCGGATGCAACAAATGGCTGTTTTATTCGCGCCACACTGTATTAGAAATAAACGACTCCACGCCCTAAGACGGGTGCCCTGAGGGTGTCCCCCACTTGGTCACCTTGAATGGGGCCCAGAGAGAGGTATTATGATGTCATTCATATGCAATCACTTTACATACCTTCTCCGTTCGTCGTCAAAGACCCAGGGAACTGCTGCCGAAGAGGGTTTTCACTTGGTGCTAGAAAAGAAAAAGTTTTGTTATTTTTCCCCAAAAAGCAGCGGTTTAAATCATGTTGGCCTTGATGAGCCACACGTGTGGTACGCGGCGTTACTATAGGGACTTGTGTGTGACCAACTTGACAAATCGAAAATGACGATTTAGTTCCGTGATTTTATTGGGAATTTGGTTAGCGCCAGCTTGCAGGCCGTCTGACCTTTCTAAAGTGGAAAGTTAAATAAACCGGCGCCTTGCTATTCTTGGAGAGCAAACTACCGCTGCTGGTATTTTGTCGGTGTCTGGTTTTTTTGTTGCAAGCAACACCGAATTCAGCCTTCTACACAACCAATTTATTGAGAAAACGGAAATTACAAAAACACCAATTATTGTAATTTCTAAATTCGTTATCTCAATTTAGTCCGGTCAAAATAAACATTTTAAATAACTAAAATTCCGACAGAGCTAAATTTTGGTGGA